TTGCCCGGCATTCGCACATGCGAACACTAGGCCAACGAGGCAGTCAATTACAGTCAATTACAGTACTTACACCAGTATATAAGCGATCAATATGTTGAAGTTCTTGACTCTCTCCAGGGCATGGTGGAGATGGCAAAGTAGAACACAATCGTCACAGCCACTATTTCCCATGAATATCATAAAAAGCTAACTTAGAGCACAACGTAAGTGATCAAAACCGGGCAGGATTACTTCAACAGCCTATAAGTGCCCACTGCTGAGCAAAGCCTCTTTTCACACGGGGAAGGTTTTGAGCATTAATCACCACACTTGCTCAATGCGGGGTGGCGATTTCAACATTATAATTACAAATTGTAACCCCAGGTTTCCTCACAATGTTTTCCTTCGCCATTTGACAGGGGTAAGTAACCTTAAAAAGTACTTATAACTCCGAAAAAGTCACATTGGTACTTGGTGTTCTTTCGAGTTCGCACGGCACCCACATACATGAGAAACGGGCGTCTTAACCTCCAAGCCACCACGGCAAAAGGTTCAGAAAGGCAGGATTGCTCTTTAATAAACCTAATGTTTTGTACTGTAGTCAGTTGCTGACACAGCGATAGTTTTCACATGACACGTCTATTCGTGAAGCTGGTACACACGGCCACACATCAACCTATACAAAACCAGTTTACCCTGGTATCGCGTCGCATCATCTTTCCGCACATTTAACGTTCAGTTTATACTGGTTATGTAAAGCTCGATGTGTAGCCGTGTGTATGTGCTCGTTCTATAGACACTTACAAGACAAAATATTCAAAAATATCAAGTTACTCCACTGTGATCTTGACATTTTAAAATAAATAAATAAAAACTTTTATAGTCAACGTTTTATGTGTGCCTGTTCACATTAAATGCAATAAATAAAATCCTAAAACAATACTATTATCGACAAAGACGGTTTCAATTTCTGATAAAATATGATTCAAATGTATGTTTTCTGTAAAATGTATATTTCATGTAGGTAGTTGTTGACGAGAACCGGTTGTATATTGAGAACTGAGACAAGACACATGCGAATGAAGCATAATGGGGGGTAAACTCCAAAAAAATTATATTTAGTTTGCACTTGCACCGCGTGAGTCGGTTTCTTTATTCAAAAAAGTGAATCCAATTTTAATGCGTGCGTTTAATATTTGCTTATGGATAATTACCCTTTTACTTTCATAGTATGAACTTATTCAAGATACTATATTTATAGTTTGTAAGTATAATACAAACCAGTACAAACCAGCTTTGGTTTAATGGTCTAAAAAATGGAGTAAAACTCTACCTATTGAAATGTAAAAATAAATAAATAATAATAATAAAATAGTTTAGTTTACTAGTCTACACTATAAAGTTTAGTATAAATTGGTCTCTCAGTAGACATCATTTTCATGGGATTAATAGTGCGACCTGAGCGTCCTGACTAGGTAGGATTCCGTCGCACTGCATGCCAAGGTGACTTCATCAGTTGTTCTAAACAATGCTGATTCACAAAAATGAAACATTTTATTACTGGAAAGCAGTGTCGTGAAGTAAACAGACTAAATAAAAACGACCTAAAATAAAGCTTTCAAATAAGTGCCCGGTTGACGCAATGGCTGGGCAACTGGCTGCCGTGCAAATGTAACGGGGTCGAATCACGCACGGAGCAACTCTTGTTCTCCACAAATCGTTGTTTCGGGTCTGGGTGTCATGTTTTTTGTTGCATGTGAAATAGTATATTTGTAAAAGTACCCGCGATACAGGAGAAAAGTCTAGTGTAGGGCAACGTTTGAAAAAAAGTCTTTATAACCTCAAACGGTGCCTAAATTTTTGAGAGGAAGACTAGGGATTGTGTGATTTTTACACACTCTGATGGATGAAGTAACTGCGACTGTATATTATTAAATTAATGATTGAAAAACTTTCATAAGTTCTTTCTTCTTTTTATAGCGGATCTCTAGAGGGTCTTATGCTGGAAGTGGACGTCAGAGGAGTCAAGGCTATTCTTGGAGTTGTTTACTGCCCACCAGCAATCAACTATTTTTCTCATTTAGAGATTCTCTTCGAAACCTTTTCCACAGAGTACAAACACCACATTATCATGGGAGACTTTAATACTGATCTCATTAAGTCGTCTCTTAGGTCTCGTGGGCTGAGGTCGATCCTTGAGTCTTCGAATCTTTCTCTTCTCCCACTAAATCCGACCCATTGTAATGTTGGATCTGATGATTCTTGGCTCGACCTCATGCTCGTATCCTCCTTGGAACTTGTGGTCAATCATGGTCAGGTTGCGGCTCCGGGGTTGTCAAGACATGACTTAATTTATTTATCATACAAAATTAGGCCACCTAGGCGACGTCCTGCACTTGTATACCTTCGAAACTTTGCGAGGATGGATAAAATCAAACTAAACAGCGAAGCACAATCCATTGACTGGACCAATGTATATCAATCGACTTCTATTGACGAGAAGGTCAATTACCTAAACGAGTCTGTCCTTAAGCTTTTGGACGCGCACGCGCCTCTAAAGGCAGTCCGTGTTAGGCGTCCACCGGCTCCCTGGATCACTCCGGGAATCAAAATGGCTATGAGACGTCGCAATAGGGCGTTCTGTAGATATAAGAGGGATCGTAGCGATGAGAACTGGGGACTGTATAGGTTGGCGAGAAATCGGTGTAACCAGATGGTGAGAGCTGCTAAACGCCGATACATTTTCGATAACGTTCAAAACTCTTCTCAGGCTGATGTATGGAAGTTCCTAAAAACGCTGGGTGTCTGTGGTACTTCATCCAGTGTTTTACCCACAAATATTTCTCTAAATACTCTTAACCTGCATTTTGCTTCATCTTCTGGTTTGGCGGATGCCATTAAAGTCAGCACTATCGCCGACATTACTTCCAAGCCTATATCACTCCCCGACACTTTCACTTTTAGTCCAGTGACTGAAAACGAGATCCAGCGAATTTTCGCATCGATCAAATCCAGGGCGGTGGGCTGTGATGGGGTGGGTCGTACCATGATTTCCTTAATTCTTGAGCACTTCCTTCCTATTTTCACCCACATAATAAACTTCTCGTTATTTCACGGTGTATTTCCCACAACTTGGCAAAAAGCGCACATCATCCCGCTTCCAAAAATTCCTAATCCCTGCCGGGCCAACGATTATAGACCCATTTCTATCCTTCCTTATCAATCTAAGATCCTTGAAGCAGTTGTCCATAGACAAATCTCCTCATATATCTTAAAACACAAATTACTGTCTTCCTTCCAATCTGGTTTCCGACCCGGCCATAGCACTTCTACTGCCTTGCTCAAAGTCACTGAGGATGTGAGGTGTGGTATGGAGGATTCGAGGTTAACTGTGTTAATCTTAATCGACTTCTCCAACGCTTTCAATGCAGTTGACCACGATATTCTCTTGGCCATATTAACTCAATCTGGGGTCTCGTCGTCGTCGCGGGAGTGGTTCTCAGCATATCTTCGTGGTCGCCAGCAGTCTGTTCGCGTTGGTCAGGAACTCTCTGACTGGGGCGGACTGACGGCTGGTGTACCGCAGGGCGGTATACTCTCTCCTCTATTGTTTTCTTTATTTATTAATTCTATTACTAGTCTTCTCACATGCTCTTATCATCTGTATGCCGATGACTTGCAACTATATGCTCAAGCTAGGATTGCGGATATGGGGAGTTGTATCCAACAACTCAACGCCAACTTACTCATTGTGGAAGATTGGTCTAAAAAGTATGGTGTCACAGTAAATGTTGGTAAGTGTCAGGCCATAGTGTTAGGTAGTTCCTACTATCTGAGTTGTTTAAATACTGTTCACCTTGAGCCAATCATATTCGATAAAGTGACCATACCGTTGTCTCCTCATGTAAAGGACTTGGGACTGTACCTGGATAGAGGGCTCAGTTGGAACCACCATGTCACTCAGGTAAGTAAAAGAGTCACTACCACGCTGCGATCTCTCTACAGATTTAAAAACTTTCTTCCACCAAATACAAAAGCGCTGCTTGTTCGGTCTCTTGTGCTTCCTGTGATTGATTATGCTGATGTTTGTTACTCTGACCTATCCCAAGACCTTCTTAACAAATTGGATCGAATGCTCAACAATTGTATCCGCTTTATCTTCGGACTACGTAAATACGACCATGTCTCTTCCTTTCGCGCTCAGCTTAAATGGCTTCCTATCCGTGAGAGGCGATCCCTTAGATCCCTCTGCATGCTCTTCTCTATTCTAAATGATCCTTGTGCTCCCGAATACCTAAAATCTGGCTTTCAGATTTTGGGCAGCTCTCACAGCCGAAATCTCCGTTCAGCTGAAAGTTTGCTTCTAGAGATCCCGTCTCACCACACTTCCTTCGTTTCTAACTCCTTTAGAGTTAGTGTAATTAAATTATGGAATGCACTACCCCATAGTATAAAAATGGCTCCAAACAAAATGGCTTTTAAACGTAGTGTTCGTGAGGCCTATTTAAAGGCGCTACAACGCTGAGTTCGTGTCTTCTTTAATTTATATCTTCGTCAATTTATATTATATTATAATTATATATATGAAGTTATTTATGTATGTACATAGGTATTTTGTGTTTATTATATATTTTTATACAGTATGTTATACAGTATTTATTATTACTATTAGTTATTTATTTTGTTTTTTTTGGATATTACACAGGCCCATTTTCGCTGAGCTTACATTTAACCCAAAGGTTGACTGGGAGAAAATGCCATATGGCATTAAGTCCGCCTTATGTACCTTATTTTGTGTGCATTAAAGTGTAAAATAATAATAATAATAAGTTCCATTTGTACTTATCCCAGGAATCAGTGATTTACTAAACGTAGGTGAAGCCATGTCCAGAAAAAGCAAAATCGACTTAAGGAAGGACCGTAGTAAGGCGAAAATAATAAAAATGTTATTCATCCATGTTCAATTTGATTGATTCGTTTGAAACAAAGTGGCGTATAATGTATTTTTTATTTAATTCTCAATAAAACTTAACCTCCTACAGGGCGCATGATGTTCACTTTCAAATTCGTTTACGTATTCATTTTAGTTTTGTTTTATGGTAAGCTAGTTTTTACAATTTTAGTTTTTTTGTATCGGAGGATATTTGGTATGGTTAGAAAAAGCCAAAAACTGTAACTTTTTTATTGTAGATATTCATAAAATTTTATTTTGAACCAAAAGATATATTTTTACTTCGCTTTGCGTCTGTACTTTTTAGCCAAATATTCTATGACGAACCGCGACTTCTAACTTTATTTATTGCCTATTTATTTAAAGGATATGATTGCCAGAGAAGGATAAAGGATGGAGACGTTGTTGGAAAAAATAAAGCTTACGTGGTAAGATTTATATTAATATCTTAATTATTTTGCAATAAGTATTAAGTAGTTTGTTCTTAGTTATAATAGTAACAGTTGCCATTTCATATCTAAAAGATTATGAAAATTATAATGAGTCTGTAATTTATAATAGATAATAATTATAATGAATCTGTAAAACATGTAATGAAATATGTAGTGCCACCTATGTTTACACTTACAAATTAAAATCAAGACACAAACCCTTACCCTTAGAGCAAATGTTTCAGAGTAGGATCTGGTACCAAAAATATTGTATCCCAGTCGATAGATGGCGCTATTTTAAACAATTCATACCAGACATTATTATAAAAAAATGTGATACCTTCAAGCTTTATTTATTAAGCCCGATTTTACTTAGTACTATGTTATTAAATACCATTATAAATGTGGTCAAATCATACAACTACAAAATTGAGTTACATATCTTGAAGTTCATTCCAAATATCTAACCTGCTTAGATTTTATGATTTTCAACATTCTGAAATAGCACAGGGTTGAAAATCGTGCCCAGTGTAAAATAATGATCTTGTCTTTTGCTACAACAAACTTGCAACTGGCAAAAATGGTGTTATATCGATAATTCCGTCAAGAAGTATGGACCCATCGGTTTTTCATTAACGCTTTACTACCTAGGTCGAGTTATAAATGAACTAAGTACGTTAGAAAAACTAAGAATCTAAATTAGACACACTTCTAATACTTGCATCGTCATGAAACTTTACAATTACATGTAGATTAGATGACTGTACAAATATTGCTACTATTGAGCTAGTCTGATGATGGAAATAGGTGATATAACCTTGGACTTATAGTTTCTTTGTGCGGAACACGCTAAGGAATGGAATTCCTTGCCTGAATCTGTGTTCCTAAGAAATATAACTTGAGACCTTCAAGTCCTGATTGAAAGGTTGCTCATACCTAGGCGTGCTCCATCGGCGGCCACATCAACGCTTACCACCCGGTGAGATGGTGGCCAAATGTCATCCTATCAAGTTTAAAAAAAAATATTTTGGACTTATAAGATATTTACGTCCGTGGCTTCCGATGACTAGTACAAAAATGTAATGTATTAAATATTAAACTGCACGGTTGGTGCGGTGGCTGGGCAACCGGCTGCCGTGCAACGTGTTGCGGGTTCGATTCCCGCACGGAACAACTCTGTGTGATCCACAAATTGTTGTTTCGGATCTGGGTGTCATGTGTATGTGAACTTGTATGTTTGTAAACGCACCCATGACACAGGAGATAAACCTAGTGTGAGGCAACGTTAAAAAAAAGTGTGTTCTGAGTTTCTAATTTAAGTATTTATTATTATCATCTAGATTTTTTCAGGTGTACTTCCTCAAAGCGGCTGTATCGCCACGATACTATGAAGGATGGTTGTGTGGAGGGGCACTTGTATCTCCAGAGTTCATAGTGACGTCAGCAGCTTGCGTCACTGATGTTAACCATCTCTATGCTATTGCGGGTTATAACAAATATGTGAGGGATACAGAAATAAATAATGATCCCTGTACGAAAGAAAAGAAAAAGAAAGTTATATTGACTTGTGTGCCTAAAGGTAAGACAATTAGGTACTAGAACATAAAATTGGGAGCAAAGAGATGGAGCCTCTTTTACAGGAGATACTAGTGTGAGAGAGCCATGCTTCGGCAAGAATGGGCCGGCTCGACCGGAGTGATACCACAGCCTCAGAGAAAACCAACGTGAAGCAACGCTTGCGTTGTGTTTCGTCGTATGAGTGAGGTTACTGGAGGCCCAATTACCCCCCTCCCCTTCCCCAATCTCCCCAATCCCTGAATCCGCAACGATCCTCAAACTTCTAATCCCTAAACGGTTGGTAACGCACTTGTAACGCCTCTGGTGTTTCAGGTGTCCATGGGCGACACCGATTACTTACCATCAGGAGATCCGTCTGCTCGTTTACTGGCTAATGCCATAAAAAAACATAACTTCAAAATATTTATTTTTTCCAATCAATTTAAAGATAACTAAATTGGTTTTTGATACGACTTACGTTACCAATTAATAGAATACTTGTATTAGAAAATATTAATCAAGAAATGAAAAAAAGAAAAATGGCTAATGGCTCAGTCTCTTTGCTCCCAAGTCTATTTCATAGGTTTTAAGATATGGGTAAAGTATAGAGTTAGTAACCAATGCTGTATGCTATGGCTCAGACAAAGAAACAGCTAAATTTCCATGACAGATCACTGTGTTATGCATGGTACAAACAAAAAAGTAACCAATGCGATGGGTAAAAAGATTTGTTTTCGTAAAAAACGTACAAAACAGCATAACAACTAACAGTGGTATATATTTTAATTTTCTTAACCTTTCCTATTGTTTTTAGCTTACGAATTAAAATATGAAGAGATAGAAAAGTGGTCGTACATTGATATAGCAGTTGTGAAAGTGGAATCTCCATACGACTTTGCGGACAAAACATTTGAGGAAAAGTGTTCTTACATACCTGCGCCTATAATAATTAATTATGAAATGAAATACCAAGAGCCAGGTGTCGATGCTATTGTCTTGGGATGGGGTCATCGAGCAAAGTGGCGACAGGTAGGTAATTCTACTAATATTATAAAGGGATCTGGATGAAGTTTGGAACAGAGGTAGACTTTGGTTTGGAATAATACATAGGCCACTTTTAATTTCTCGGTAACGTGGGCGACCCGACGCTGGCAGAAGCTAATATTCATTAATTTATTTTTTATATATTATTCAACATAACATAACATCACGCCTTTTGTCCCGAAGGGGTAGGCAGAGGTGCACATTATGCCACTGTAAAATGTAACACCCACTTTTCACTATTTATGTTATGAGTCCCATGTAATAGGGGGTGAGCCTATTGCCATATACCGGGCACAATTCCAGACTCCGTGCTACATATATTATTCAACTTGGAAAATAGTTCTTATTGGTTATAAACAGTTGAAAACTTCCTTAAAAACATGCAGTAAAAACATGTTAATAAAATTAGTAAAGGATTTATATAGATGTGCAAATACTAAGAAAAGCTCTACTTGTTTCGAACCACAGAGGGGTTCTTACACACACTACTACAGCAGTGAGTTGGCTGCGCGATGTCGCCGCGACCGCGCACGCTTAAGGACGAACCCCTCTGTAGTTCGAAACTAGTAGAACTTTTCTCAGTGTTTGCACGTGAGTAACTCCCGACTTTTAGTAAATTTAGTATGTCTCACAATAGTTTTGATAAAAACATTTATATAGATTTGTCAGATGGAAGGAAACTGGGTAAATCAGTAAAGAAGGCTAAATATCTGATAACAAAAAATGTCAGGTTAATACTTTGTTTTATTTAAAAAACGTAACTTCTATAGGAACTGTGCTTTATCCAAATAATATTGCCTTTCTAGCAATTAGACCCAAAAGACTACAATCAAGAAAAGTTGAATTATGCGCCAACATTGATACAAAATAAAGAAGATTGTAAAAAAGAGTACGAAGTTTATAAAGGAATGGATCAAATAATAGACAATTATATGATTTGTACTTTCGAAAAAGGAAATATAAATGATGCGGGTGAGACTATTGTCAAATCACCACCTACAGCACAGGGATGTATGGCTAAGTCGTCGAGGCTTCGTGGGTATGAAGGTGCTTCAGTAAGTTCTCTTCTATTTCCTGGTTCACTCCTAGAATAAGTAGTTATAATAAATAAGTAATTGGCATGGTATAAAATTAAAAAATATTTAGTCTTTCAGTTCGATAATGAAAAAAAGTTAGATACTTATTTTGATTCAAATCCAGAGACAGAAACTTCTCCACGATACGTGGCGTTTCAAGGAGAACAAGCCTTCTGTATCAAGCCCTTGACGCAACCGTCTAACGCCAGCCTCCTAAGGTGGTTGTCGAGGCTGTTAGGTATTAACCCATTGGGCGACACATGTTATTACTATTAAACGATTTTATTTAGTTTGATTGTTTGTTTGGGTCAAGTAATTGAAATTTTAACCCCTTACTGTGGTAAGATCGATACGCTCACTTAGTCTTGATGACCATAAAATACAATGTATTTTTTTCACAACTATCTCCGTTATGGATATCAAACCAAAGGGCCTTTTTGGTAGAATACAGCTTGTGGCGACACATGACACATTTACTAATGACAGAAGTCAAATGACGCGCATAGACGATCGACAAACAAACCAACATGACGACATAAATGCTACATCGCACATGTGAAGTTGACATGCAAATAAACAGGGATAGGGTCGCGGAGAACCTAACGGATTACCGGGGCTCCGGCTCAAAGCACAGGAGAATGAACGGGGTGGTTTTTAGTCAGTAAGAGTCTGACATTCTCTTCCACCTCACTCATGCGGGAGGAGTCGTTCGATGATATTCCCACTTAAAAAAAAACATAGATAGGAAATCCCACCGAACAGCTGTTAGGCAGAAAACCCGCCAAACACGATCACGTCGCCTGGTCGGAGGATCCTCATTTTCCGATCTTAAGGACTTTTACTCACTGTTCCTAAAAATTCAATAAAAAGGTTTAACATAAAATTACTTGTTTCAGTTGAATAATAATAATCATGTTCCTCGATCATTTTGTTTTTACAAGAACTAATACTGTCGTTGTTGTAGTGTGAAAGTGCTAATCCTCCAGACCAAGAAATGCTGTTAGTAGAAAATACAAGGAAAGACAATGTACTTCTGAAAAATATAACAGCTAATGTAAAAGTAAATCTCAAACCAGAAGTCCATGATAAAATTGTGAATGCTTCGAGAGTAGAAAAGGATTCATTAAATGTTTCAAATTCAAGAAGAATGAATACTAGGAGGCACGGGATTTGTCAGGTAAAATGCCTTTTCTTTTAGCTGTAACCTATATTTCCCGATTGAAACATGACTTGCTATACCTTACCATGATGTACTTGGAAGCAAACAAATGTAGCCGCTAGCGTTTTTTTCTCATTTTATCGACGCCTCTATAGTTATTTTTTTCGAAAAATGCTGTTATTTTATAGGTAACTAAGTTGCCTTTTATACAAGATGGGTTACCAATTAATGAAATACTTGTATCAGAAAATATTTCAAAGATTATAGCTAAGCTGTGAAAGCCTTTATGATTACTATAAAATAGAATTGAAAGTGGTATACTTCTTAGAGAAGGCCGTGTGACGACGGCACAGTTGGCGCCGTAGCTAGGCAACGTGTATGGGGTTCAATTCTCGCACGGAGTGACTCTTTGTGTGATCCACAAATTGTTGTTGCGGGTCTAGGAGTCATGTATATTTGATCCGTATACCATACTGATAACTTATCAGTAATAAGTATACTATACTTAAATCGTCGCAGTTTAAAAGCGCCATGTTTCGGCACGAATGGGCTGGCTCGAACGGAGTGATACCATGGCGTCACAAAAAACCAATGTGATGTGACGTCATGTGAGTGAGATTACCGGTGGGAGTGAGATTAACAGTCCTCAAATTTCTAATCCCTAAAAGGCCGGTAACACACTTGTAACACCTCTGGTGTTCCGGGTGTCCATGGGCGACGCCGATTGCTTACCATCAGGTGATCCACCTGCTCGTTCACCAGCTTATTCCATAAAAAAACACTGCAATCTCCAGCCCGTTTGCCAAGGGTATATAGGTATGGGAAAATAAAGTATAGGTTATGGGAAACCACTCTTTTGTAGAAGAGAATCCTTCAGCTAACGATGAAAATACTTTTTAGAATGATCACGGCGGACCTCTGGTGACCTGGGTGGGGTCTCACGAAGTGCTTATTGGCGTTGCATCAGTTTTTAAGATCACAGAGGATCTTGATTGCATAGGGCCGTATTTATTTACCAGTACTCAATGTAATGGAGCGTTCCTCGATTGTATACTGCGATCTGACTCAAACGTAACGCCGCAAATGAGGTGAGAACCGAAATTAACATTTGAATTTGTACTTTTATTTAAAATACTGAGTGTTAAGAACGAACTACTACCCGAGCGTGCGGCGCGTCGTCAAAGAGCCACCAGACCACTACGGATGGGGCCCAATAGGGCTGTTGCCGATACGGAGCCGCGGAAAACTTAACGGGTTACCGGGGCTCCGGCTCGAAGTGCAAGAGTAGAAACGGGGTGGTATTTAGTCACTAAGAGTTTGATACTCCCTCCTGCCTCACCCAGGCGGGAGAAGAGATTCGATGATTTTTGATGATTCGATCGAAAAAAAAAGCCACTAGCACTCTGATTGATTGATTCACTGGAGCCGGCCAATCAGAACGCCGAACGCGCTCGATACTGTTACGTTACGATTGCGATAGTTATTCGTGCTTGGCACTCCAAGTTATTGAGTTCCGTAAATAAGACGACTTTTTATGAAAATCAGTTGCAGTTTGAGTAATTTGGATGTGCTACTATATCAATGGAATGTTATAATACCAACTAATGATACACCAACATGAAGTCAAATCTAATACGTTTCTAACAAGAACAAAATCAATTAAGAGATCCAATTGTACGTGTACTTCTAAAAATAATATTAATATAATGGTCTAGCTAACTTTACTATGTACTAAAGTATTTTCCTAGTCTTTAATATAATATTAATTCAATAATTATTTTTCTTTGAACAGACGAGTAATTTGCAATAATATTACTAACAATGGATTCAAGTTAATCGAAAGACACATTTCATGGAAAAATCACCCTGATGGGTAAGTTTTATAACGAAATTAGAAAACTTATTGCGTGCAACCTTGTCTATATAGGGTGTCCCTGAAGTCGACGATCAAATGACACCAAGTGATCGATAAGGTTCCAACAGTTATCAAAAAAATAAAGAAACAAATCCAAGTCATATAGTTTTTAATTTGTTATGTGTACACGAAAAAGTACACCCTGTGGCAGTCTTTTGACTCTTGTTGCTACAATTCTTTATTAAGCTTAACCTTTATCTTTAAGAATTGTAGTAATAAGAACCAAAATAATGTTTTCTATAGGTTTTTTTTGTGATAACTGTTGGAACAATACATTTGACCGTCGACTTCTGTGTGATTGAAAAATGATTACTAGAGAAAATAGAAATCATTAAGCCTTTAGCTGGTCGCCGGGGCGAAACCCCGGTGCCGCGCCAGATAAGTGCGTAGCGGGATGAGCTCCGGCGCGATCTCATGGCGGAATGGCAGCAACGACTGTCGCAACCGAGGGCTGGGTTCGCTGCCACCGCAGCGGTAAGTCCCCTCTTTGAGGAGTGGCTTGAGACACGCTACGGCGTCCTCACCTACCGCCTGACGCCGGTTCTCAACGGACATGGGAGTTTCGGGAGGTACCTGTGTCTGATGGGGCGGGAGGAAACGTCCGGGTGTCATCACTGCGAGGACCGCCTTTAGCTGCCGATAAAAACTGTTAAAGGGTTAATCCTCCGCTAGCGTCGGACATCATTGTCCTATACGTCATCCAATGTATTAACCATTATAACTTTATTACAGGCCTGCAGAAAACGAACTATATGACATCCATGCACCAACGATAACAAAAAGTTCCTTAATAAATCTAATCAAATCTAACAAATCAGAAAACCATAAAAATAATGACACAGATATTTATAATGTAACAAAATTCATTGAAGACAGCCTTGTTACAAACCTTAATCCTATAACCAAGATGGTTGAAATTACAACGACAAACTTACCAACGACGAATCCAAATAACGCTACATCTCCAAGCACTCTTTTACCAACAACTGTTGATAAAAATGTTACCATGACAACCACAGACAAGAAAATTAATAGTACGGAAACTACAATTTCGATAAAGGTTACCACAACAGTCCCACAGAAGCTTGCAACAAAATAATTGTGTTAAGTTATGTTACATGATAATTATAATAAAAAAATATTGTAATACAGAACCTAATATTGTGTACCCTAAGTTCCCTTTTTGAAATAACCGCTACATCTTTTGACTGCGCTATTGACGAACAAGTGATGACCGCGTACCAATTGGTACTTAAGCAAGAGAATAAAAAAACGAATGTTTGCCTATGCCTATTTAATTTTATTTCTGATTTATTTTTTAATGACTAAAAACATCAAATAGTATAATTTCAAGCTGAGAAAGCTTTCCTGAAATAAGCGAATTAATCCTGATAAAGTCAAAGTCAAAATTATTTATTTCAATTCGACGAAGAAGGCACTTTTGAACGTAAAAACAAAAAAAAGATGTTAACAATATCAATCTGTTTGTCAGTCCTCTAGTGAAGCTATTTGCTTATTCCAAAGTGTAGATTCATAGGAATATACATCTCCATAGGGAGAAGAACGAGCAAGAAACTCCATATGTTACTACATATATTTCAATCGGGTTCACAATACAATTCTTGTTACATTGTTGATAAGACAACTTTCTCGACAGTTATGAAGAGAACCGCTAATAAACCAAGTAGTATCCCTAGTATAAATAAAAACAGTTATTTCCAGGAAGTATTAACCCAGAAATATAATTTAAACTACGATTTAACGCTTACTCAGCCCCGTTCAGTATTGATCTACGCATCCTGCCTACCACGTTTTTATCGAATTTGTTTTCAATCTCGCCGTGATTAGATTATGTATATTTTATGGCACATCGTTACAGGACTTATAGATTTATGAAGGGTGTGTACTATATCTTAATATGTATGTAGAAAATGACTCAAATATATCTTTTGTTAAGATTCAATTTGCAATGACATTATAACCTTTATTTAGCAGAGCTATACACATTATTTCAACAACTTTTTACTAGCTATGGTACGAGTCTTAGATACTGTTTCACATGCTTTAAACTGCCTCGTTGGCCGAGTGGTCGCAAGTGCGACTGCCGGGCAAGTAGTCTCGGGTTCGATTCCCGGGTCGTGTAAAGTATTACTGGGTTTAAAAAAATCTCAGTAGTAGCAAGGAGTCTGGAATTGTGCCCGGTGTATGGCAATAGGCTCTCCCCCTATGATATGGGACTCAACATAAATAGTGAAAAGTGGGTGTTACATTGTACAGTGGCATTGAGTGTCGTAATGTGCACCTTCGGGGATAAAAGGTTAAGGAAGTTATGCTATTCAGCGCAACCTGACAGAATTATGTAGAACTTAACTGAAAAGTAGCCAGTGTTAAATTTTCTTCGTATTTCAATAGTAACCAATGGTAATGTTTTTGCACTTTCTGAAGCAAAACTGCACGGTTTATAGGTGTAATGGGCCAATATCAACAAAAAGGCCCAATATCAACTTTTCATCTCTGTGTATCTTCAGTGCAAAAATGCACGGAGCACGATATCATGTTACCCCGAAAAAGTAGGTTAACAAGGTGTTATTTTTCAATTTTTTTTTCGACATCTATGTCGTTAAAAGTTACGTGGATGTCGTTAGTCCAATTAGTGGATACCCCACGGATTCCAGTCTTTTATTTGTACGAAAATGTTTTCAAAGATAAAATCCACAGATTTCCTAATATTTGCTTAAACAATTTGTTGAAAATTTCTTTAACAATTGTAATACATACTTTTACTATGCATATTAGTTCGGAGTCATCGAATTGAATTATGCCAATGTTATGTCTATTAATTCATAATCACATTTTAATAATATGTCAATGACGTCACGCTCGAAATGACAAAGACAGAAACATATTGTGTTTCCTTTCTAATTTCAAACTTTACTGTTTGCCCAAGAACAATAATTTGGTGACCTTAAAGAGAGATATAATGAAAAAGTAATAGAAATCAAGTTTCTAAGGTAATCTAGTCTATAGATTTTGTAAATTTTGTTACCAATATAAAATCACATTTGTGATTTTAAAATAATATACGACGTGACGGTACATCCCATAAAGCCTGAGTGTGAATAAGAGATGTTGCGAAAAATGTGGAAGATTTATTTCATTTTGTGCCTCTTACAATTTTTAAGTGTGAGAGAGCCATGCTTCGGTACGAATAGGCCGGCTCCACAGGAGTGATACCACGGCCTCACAGAAAACCTACGTGAAACAACGCTTGTGTTGTGTTTCGTCGTGTGAGTGAAGTTACTGGAGGCCCAATTACCCGTCCACCTTCCCAAATCTCCCAAATCCCTGAATCCCCAACAATCTTCAAATCCTAATCCCCAAAAGGCCAATAAAGAACTTGTAACGCCTCTTGTGTTCCAGGTGTCTATGGGCGAAGCCGATTGCTTACCATCAGGTGATCCGTCAGATCGTTTAACAGCTTATTAGTTCATAAAAAAAAATAATGGGGCTAAAAACTAGCCAAAAGTAACTGAAAAATACCTTTATTTACGTAAATAGTATCTAATTCAACATTAATATTGTTATTATGATTAGAATTTCAAACATCAAAGTGTACTGAATCGCTCTCATCGGTACTATAATTGTTTTAGTCAATAACAACGATATTATTAATGGGCCTGTCAAAAACTTTTGCTGTCATTCACAACAGGTACTTACTAGGTTGATATCAATTGAAGATGTGTCCAAAGTAAGATAGAAAATCTTTTTCTAAGAAAGGGTAGGCGAATGTTGGTGAATCTGTGTTTAGATCCAGCACATCAAGTTTTCCCTGGACGAAATACTTTCTTTAATACATTTTCAACGTTATGTTCATTGTTATTGGTATTATTTTTGTATGGGACATGGCGATATAGGAGCAGATTAATCACCTAATGATAAGCAAATCGGTTTCACTCGTGGATGGACGTACTCGCAACACCGGAGATCATAGTCGGACTTATAGAATTGGGCTATTGCCTCAAAGATTGGGGATTAGGGATTGGGGAATGGGGATTGGGGATTGGGGATTGGGGATTTGGGATTGGGATTGGGATTGGAGATTGGAGATTGGAGATTGGAGGTTGGAGGTTGGAGGTTGGAGGTTGGAGATTGGAGATTGGAGATTGGAGATTGGAGATTGGAGATTGGAGATTGGAGATTGGAGATTGGCGATTGGCGATTGGCGATTGGAGACTGGAGATTGAAGAATGGAGATTGGAAATAGTGGATTGGAGATTAACGATTACAGCTTATGATAATAATATAAATTAAATACGCAATTTATTACCACGCAATCGCTTTTATGACTTCTTAAGCAGCAGTGTTTATCTTACCTTGGTCTAGCACCTGTGAAAGCAGAACTCGCGTGGATTTGAAATTGGATTTATGTCCTAGTCCCGACACAAACAAGGCTGGAGTTGGTCCCTTTGTTTGAGTATCCGTACTTCGTGTACACAGCGCTGATTGCTACACCAATACCTATGTCCAATCTGCTCACTGTTTTACCAGTTTACTGGCTTTTGCTTGATTATTCGTGCGTGCAAGCATCTCCGTTTTTGAAACACAATCTATTTTCGCCTCTTTGTTAGTTAAGATAAAAGAAATAAAGAGTTTTATCTTTTGCTGCATGCCAAGAGTTTTTGATATTGATGAAAGCTTTTTTTAAGGGGGAAAATCATCGAATGACTTCTCCCACCTGGGTGAAGCAGGAGGGAGTGTCAGACTCTTACTGACTAAAAACCACCCCGTTCCTACTCCTGCACTTCGAGTCGGAGCCATTGATGAATGCTACAATGTCTTTCTTCTAGGTTTTTCTAAACTCGAACTTGTTGAACTTGTTGATCGCAACTCAGCAACCCAGTCCAGCTACTGCACCAGTCATGCAGTATACATGTAGTTCTTTTTATTTCCTTTATATTTGATTGCATGGTTGGGCAACTGGCTGCCGCGCAACGTGTCGCGGGTTCGATTCCCGCACGTAACAACTCTTTGTGTGATCCACAGATTGTTGTTCCGGGTCTGGGTGTCATGTGTATGTGAACACAGGAAACAATCCTAGCTACGTTTTTGATAAATAATTAAAAAAATATTTGTAGTAAAAGTAATATTGTAAATAATAATAATTCGTTATGAATCTAGATTCTACGTAACGATTTCTAGTTTTTGTTAAAACCGGTGTTTGAAATAGGAAATTTTAATAACATCGCGAGCTTACAAATATTATTACGACTCGGCGAAAACACAGTATTTTTACCGTCAACTCAGCGTGTCTGCAAAATTTGCATTCATTCATTCATAAATCTCTTTTATCCCCAATTAGAGTAAAAATGCCTTTTTAATAGTTCCTTGCACCTGTGTCTGTTAATTTGCCTTCGCTGGATTTTTTACAAGCTCTGTAGGAAAGGTAAGCGTCGTTATTTACTTAAAAAAGTTATGCTGACTAAAATTGAAAAGAAAATCGGTTGCTAAACACGCACTGTTTTCCAATTGTGTTATAATAAGTAAAGGTACTGTTAAACACGCTCTAAAATACTCGTAGCATGCTAAAATTCATTCTATTAACCCATCGTGGGACTAAACGTGGCTCAACGCGAGACAATATATTTCCTATTGTATCTTGTGCATGCATTCAAACGGCTAAGCGTGCTAAAAATATTCAAATATCGAACGCCTGTCGATTCGCAAACAAGTCTGAAATGAGCGTGCTAATTTTGAGCAACATTCGGACATGGTATTAAGAGACACGTGTTCAATTGAAGCATGCTTTCGTGCTTGAAATTAGCGCAAGTACCTTACAATGTAGTGGGAGGCAAACTTATTGTTTACAGTTAAATATCTATACTAATACTCGCAATCGTGAATTGCAAAAACAGTTACAACACAAAAACAGATAAAAAGCTGAAAAAATATGATTTATATTTCAATACAAATAATAATTTGCTCAAAAACAAACAATGTTATCGCACTTTTCAAGTAAATCTCAATAAAGCTGCTGCACAAAAACAAACGCAAACCGAGCGAGTCTGAAAATAAAACGCGATCGAAAACGTTAGCGCTACGGTCATTCGCAAAAGGAAATCGAGGCTTAACTAGATTGACTGCGTTCAACCGTTTGCGTATTTG